AAAAAAGTTTGACATGCCTGGTTTTACATTGGTTTTTGTGACATGATATAACCCTAACCCCCACACAGAAATAAAAGGCCCCGTCTGGATGTGGAATCAAACCCGGGACTTTCTTTCTATGTAGCACAAGAGCGTCACTGCGGAGCCACACTGTAGCCACCAAATACTGAAGAGCAGTGTAACAACAGGGCAAGTCAATTTGTACACAGCCCAACTCGTATACAGGCAGGACGGCGGAGAAGTCCTTCACAGCAAGAAGGTCCAAGTCTTTCTATGTGGAGTTTGCATGTTCCCTTCGTGTTAGCTCCGGTTTCCTCCAGGTGCTCCGGTTTCCCATCTAGCACCAAAAGCATTTACAATAAATCTGGCATGTGACAATTGCAATCCCGTCTCTGTGAGGAGTGGGAGCCAAACGCCAAAAAGAAAACAAAGAAAAAAAACAATTGTAAAACGCTATGTGACTCTGGTCTGTGAAAGACGCAGATAAATGAACATTACTTACTCACGTGCTTCAAAAAATCAGAACAAGACAGTATGAAAACATCTTCTTGCATCTTCACAAACCAGACTCCTACTGTTTGAATGGAAATGTTAAGGGTTAGCTATAATACTGTATAATAACTCCTGAATCTATAGCCTGACCATCTGTCGAGCGGATCCCTCTCTCTGTCTGTACTGTAACCACTGCTTTTGTTATTTTTATTTTTTGCTCCTCGCCAATGCAGGAGGGTCTAAGGACAGTGATGATTCAGGACATTTAAGTATGGGCATTTATTAACATGTATGAACATTGGTCATCCCGCTCCCTATGGATCAATGGCTCCTATGGGTTTCTTAATTCATTTCCTGTGCCCTGTGTCTCTGATTGGTTGTTGGTATTGACTTTGTGAAGTGAACCGAAAGAACTGCTTTGATTTGCTTTTGGAGCGAATTAAATAGCTACAATTAATATCAACAGTAGGCCATACCATTCCTGCAAATAGAAAACAAATCCTTTATTCGTCCCTCAGTGGGGAAATTTCAGTGTTGCAGCACAAGTTACAGACGGTATGAATGGGGAGCACGCAGCACAAGATAAATTTAAAAAATACTAAAATACAATCAAATCTAGCATAAAAGCAGTCTAAAATCTCCAACTTCAGCATGATGAAGAAGCAGGAATAACATTGCACGCGTGGACGACTAGCCATGTTCATCGTACAGCCTGACAGTTACACCACAACACCCAGAGCCAGACCCAGTCAATGCCTCTTTTCCAACCTTTTTCGTCTCGATATGTTTTGTTTTCTTCTACATCTCAGGTGAAATAGGACACTCCCTCCATCCATCCGCTGGTGCTGATCCTCCCCAACAGCAGCCCCCCTCCCTTGTGTCCCGCCTGGGGGGCCATGTCGCATTAATTGCCGCCTGTTCTGGGGCCCGCAGTCTCCGATTCCAGAGCTCGCATCAAAGAAACCGCGCACTGAACTTTATGAAATTTTTATTCAATGTGTTCTTTCTCTTCCCTTTTCGCCCCTTTCTCTTCCTCATTCCTATTCCCCATATTGTACCCCCCCTACCACCACCCACACCATCACCCCACCCCCTACCCCTACCCCCTGAACGCTTATAGCACCGCCACCAAATAGACAAGAAAGAGAGACTCGGATCTGTTTTGGGTGCAACTTCCTTCCTGCCCAGAAGCACCTCAAGGATCTCGTTATCTCGTGCACAGTCTACACGCGTTCTGCCCGGAGCCAAAAAGGAGGTTTAAAAGAAAGAATGAAAGAAGGAGAAGAAAGAGTGGAGAGAGGGGTAAGATCATGAAAGTTGGAGAGATTGTCTGTAGAGGAAGGTGTGTGTGTGGTGCTTATTTAGATTGTGTAATTACAAGAATGAGAGATGAGAAGTGTGTCCCAATAGACGATGCACAAACCAGAGGCCTGAGGTTTCGTCACACGTCGCTGTTTACATCAAAAACATTGCCGAGATTACGTTGTGATGACATTAGCATTGCATGTAATGAAGGCAAAACTGATTTATTATTGTTCTGATTTTTGTGTTCTATTGTGTGTGTCTGTGTGAGCCTGTGTATGTTTGTTCCAATGAATGAATAAATAAATAAATATAAGTTTAGTAGTTTTGATTTTGCAAGTTGCTGAAAGTGAGTGAGGAAATGGGAGCTTATGTGGGCAGCAAGGTGAAGTTGAATTGAATGTAAATCGCACATGTTCTGGTCATAATTAGAAAATCAAATTGGTTGCAGATGTTTTTCATGTTCAGTTTTGAGGCACTGCTAATAAGCTAATGACCTGGCAAAATCCAGATTGATGATTGTGAAGGATTCAAAAGAGTTCTCCACTCACAAATACCGCGAGAATTCAACGTGCAGGCAAGGTTAATTATGCAGGTAAGCTAAGGCAGCTTCCTGGGAGTTCCCTTTTACAAAGCACTTACAAATCAGAGGATTTGAAGGAAGTACATAGATTTTTTTGGATATTCTGCAAATACATCGGACTGAATAGAAAAAAACCCACAGAAAAATATATCTTCTTTTTTAACATAAAGCATTCTCTTTTGCATATTTCTGTTGATAGTTCGGTTTTAAATCAATTGAAAATACTTGTTTGTACACAGCCCTGTATTGATCTGTGTGCATACAATGAATCAATGGTAGAGGTCTGATTTAAAAATGTGTAATTTTAAAATAATGTTTTCATTTATGATGTGAGTGTTCAGTTTTTGTTTTGTAAACTTTTGATTTGCTGTGTATGAACTGTGCTACGATCACATTGCATTGTCTACCCAAGTTTATCTTCTGTATGAGTAGATTAACTTCAGTATAACTTTATCCAAATAATCTATGAAAAAAATGCATTTGCTCATCAGTGAATATATCTTTAAAAAAATTCAAATTCAATTCATTTTATCTTTGTATTTCCCTGAATCACAACAGCAGTCGTCTCAGGGGACTTTACAAAGTTGTTAATTCTCCAGCAGGCAGCGGGATAACACCATGGACTGACGACACAGATCCTCACCGTCCTTACACTTGAAAGCCATTGTTCTTTGTTTGAAAACGGTGTCACACTTCATATCTCACTGCTATAAACTGTTGTGATCATTTGCACATTCTCCATTTGATACTAAATGTTAAATATATGCTATCCTGCACATTGGGACTATTACTATGTTAGTAACTCTTTTTTTAACTGCATGTATGTTATATGATTGTTTTATAAGGACAACAGATGGAAAGAAACATGGTGCTGAATCTGGTGCAACTATCTTTTTAATGTGACTGCTTATTGTCCATAATATATTGAAATTAAACTTAAACTTCACCATATGCATCGGCAAAGAACAACAAAAACCCAGTGATAAAATGTGAAAAATTTTGGTGAGGCCCATATTGAGAGAGGATCCACTCCCACGGACAGACAGGCTGTAGATCCAGGACTCTGCTGTATTTAGTTATAATTTGGCTTCATTATACTCTTAAAAAACAGAATAATAAGAGTCCTAATCCTATCAATGGCCTGTTTCCCACTCGCTCACACAGATGTCATCCTTCAGCCTTTTCCTCTTTCACTACGGCAATTGCAGCTGATGAATTGAAAAGGTTCTAATAATTAATATGGATCAGGCTTCATACAGACAGAATGTACAAAATATACAGACAAAGATTAACGGCACTATTACAAAGAACAAGAGACCGACAAGTTCCACCGTTATGAGAAGGATTTATTTTCAGACGGTAAACCCAAAAAACGTGTGTGGTGTGTGTTGCGTTTGCTAATTCAAAGTGCACCTCAAAAAGTAACTGGAAATATATTTATGACACAGTTTTCAGAAGTAGCGACGGAACTGCTTTGAAGAAAAATAATCTGTTCTTGTACGTTTAATAGATTTAATGGCAGAAAGCAGAATAGTTAGATGTATCAAGTCTAAAGATAGATTCAAATAGAGCCTCATTATTATTACATCTACTCAAAAAGTACGTTTGAAATTTCCAAAAGCAGTTTCTCCAACCCGTAGATCTGCGAGCTAGGTTTGTTTTAAATTTGAGCATCTGTTGGGGTGTTGAGTTAACACTTGCATTATATCATAACAAAACGAAAATGTCTTAAAAGAGAATGTGTTTTTTTTTCAGCGAGAGATTAAACAGAAAACAAACGTGGTTAAAATACAGTGCTAATATTATGGCTACAGATAGAGGAAGTTGCATGGAGTGCTGCCGCCCTCTTGTGGCCACTACCATGCAAACCACAGTCTTCACAAAGACCCATATTGAGGCGCGTCTTGTAGAATGAAGCGTTAGCCCTATGACGTTTGGAAGTCAAAAGTAAGATCTACCAGCAGGCACAGAGACATAAGGGAGAAATGTTACAATAAACAAAAAGCCTCGTTTGGCTTCAGTTCCACCCTCATTCTATTTATTCTTTCTAGTAGATCTCAGAATGTGGAAAGCACGTCTTCAAAAACACATGAAAAAACACAGAAGAACCAAAAAACATGTACAAAAAGAAACTTTGTACAGAGCCCAGTACTGAGCAGTCTGTTGTGTCTGCCTTCAGAGAGAGAAGCAGACGCTCTCTGGGCTCTGGGTTCTATTACTTTAGGATTTTTGATTGAAAACTTTCCAGAAAAAACGTTTTTCATTTGCTGGCAATTGAAAGCCACCTAGTGGTCAGACCTCTTTCATAACATCAAGTATTGACAAAAGGGTTATTTAAATTTGCTGACTATAGCGTTGGCTATGACAATATGTCATTGATATACAACCATAGTAGAGGATTGAACAGGTAAAAAAACACCCTGGGCCAAACTTATAACACCAGAACACAGCACAGAGTAGGTTTGTGCCCAGAGACTCTGGGGTTCTGTAGGATTATGTCAAAACCTAACTTTGAGGTTACATTAACAGAGCTGTATGAAGCAGTTTGTAAGAATTATCACCACCTTCATGAAACAGCACTGTCTTATTACTGCAATGAATCCACCTGGGGCCTTGCAGTTCCTCAGTGGTCCAGCAGAGAGCGCTGTAACGCCTCCTGAATCATTGTGTGCTCGTCTGTGGCGTAATCCTGTCATAGCATACGGAAGGCAATGTTATAACAAACTCAATACTAATAATCCTTTTAAAATCAGATTTGAGTACGTACGACAAAGGTGTCATAAGAGAAGGTGTGTCGGATCTTCAGGTGCTGCAGGAAGTCTGCGCTTCTATAGTTGGGGTCTCCCCACGGCATGGAGGCGCAGATGGGGCACACCTGCACAAGAACACAGTTACACATGATAGTTACATGGTGGAGAGACAAACTTTCTCATCTCCTCCAGCTGCTTAACACTGCGCTCTTACCACTTGGCGAGTGTCCCGGGAATGCTGGGACGTGCAGTGCTCAACCAGGCCGTCCTGGTCCAGGTTTGGGCAGTTGCAGTAAGGGCAGGTGAAGGTGAAGCGGTTTGGTACAGGACTGGAGACAAAGAAAACAGGGAATCAATATTAGTTTAATCGTAATATTACATTTGTGTTGGCTGTGATTTGAACGGTGAAAGTGGTACAAACTAACTGTAATAAGAAGTTTGACCTGATTATGGCAGGCTGGGTCTTGGCAGTGGTCCTCACCCCTTCCTCAATGTACTCCTGAAATTTAGAACAAGTAGCTGTATGGGCCCTCATCTGGGACAGACCGACCTGCAGAAAGGAAAAACACCACAGTCTTGGATCAGAGATGAGGCAAAGGCTGCTCCCACGATCACATTCCACACTCTGCCTCGACCACAGCCTCTGCACAGGGCTCAGGAGAGAACCACCAGGAGGCAGCCCGTTCTGTGGACCACTTCTATCAAAACTTTCCTTCTCTCCATGTTTGAGATGTCAGCAGGAGCCTGATAGCTACATCCAGTAATTGATTGTTTGTACTTGTATGAATGCAGATGTTCTTCGCATCGTCTTTCCTGTTTATTCATTCATATATATTTGAATACCCATTAGCTTCCACAAGTGCCTGTCTATATTAATACCCACAGCCAAATGCAACACATTAAGATTTTAATTTTATCTTATATTTTTATCATAAGTTTTGATCTCATCTTACGTAGCCTCAGGCCGCACTTTGTCCAGATCTGGTCAATACTCTAGAGCAGTTCTGTCCAAAATAAGACCTGCAGGCCCTCTGACTCGCTAACACAACATTATACCGATCATCTCACGGTTTTACCCTCAATGTCAGAAAACGTATAATGACACAACCGGTTCTCCACACCATCAATTGCGCTGATGGCATTTATCAAAACTCATCTCAAACCACTCAATACACTTTTTAACTGTCTCGGTAGATTCATCCTGAAATCTCCGTATCACACACAAAACCTAAAAAAACAGTCACCTTCACTGAATTCACTTATTATTTAAATGTATTTGTTTTAGTGGTCCGCAGTATTTAAAACAGTTTTTGTCCCTGCACCTTTTTTCACTCACCTTTTCTGTTCCAAGAGTTTGTTAAAGAAGTCGGACGCAGATCGTTCCAATGCAAGGCTCCATCAGACTGGAATAAACTCCCCACATCCACACGATCCATTATGAGTTATTTATGTTCCTTAAAACTACTTTTTTATGTTGCTAATGTTCTATATTTTGTATGTGTCCTTTTTGTTAACAGTTCTCTTTCTAAATGTTTCATTTTAGCAGAGGGGAGGAGTGGGGTGCGAAGGAGCGTTTGTTTTTGTGTGTGTTTATATAATCATCTTTTCTTATCCTTAATTCGCTGTAAATTGTTTTTGTATTTATGTATGTGTGTATGTTTACATGTTTGTATTTATGTTCCCTCAAATATCAAGGGTTTTTCTTAGTGAACTTAAACCTCCCAGTGTCATCCAGCCAACTTCAGCTCTGCCAACATAGGCAGGTTATACCTCATTGTGAAGAATAGGATCTCTGGATTCCAGTAGACTGGCAACACTGACATGTCTTTTTGATTATACGGTGCTAATGTATTTGATGAATAAACATTTGTCATTCAGCCAACTTCAACTCTGTCAGTGCTCTGTTGTCAGCACTGAAGGATTTGGGCACCTATGCTCTAGAGCAGGGGTGCCAAACTGGTTCCAGAAAGAGCCACACCAGATTCCGCCCATTTCCTCAAATTTTCAGGATAAAACTTCAGACTCAGTCTGTTGTAGTCCTGCTTTAGTTGGAACTAAAACCAGGCAGCCACACAGGCCCTATTTCTCAACTTTTTCATTACTGTTCTGGCGTAATGTGACAGATAGAATCATAATGTTCACACAACTCAGTGTTTTACTCGTTTTTGTGTTGCTTTACATCAGGGTTGTCCAAACATTTTAGTAAGAGGGGCACTATAAATCACGAGACTTGTCCAGAGGCAGACAACCCAAAATGTATAACAATTTTTACTGGATTTGGGCTGATCTGGGCTTAAAAATGGGGTATGATTATATCCACATTGATTCAGGCCACAGCTACATTAGCCGCAAATATGGAATTCTGTGACAACATTAAAAACAAAAGTCAGTATATAAAGTTAACTACTGGATTCCAAAACGTTCTGAGCTTTACAAGGTACACTGGCAATATCGGTGAGTTAGATAAGCTAGGTTTGTGTTAGCAAGGCAGAGAGCCAATAACAACATGTTTGAGGCCATGGCAGCTGACGCACAGATAACATGGCAGAGAGATTCCCAGTGGAACTAGTTTATCATGCCCTGCTTGTTGGTCTGGATGCCTGAAAGACTCGAGATGACCGAAATTCAAACCTCCTGCTGTACGCGGTGCATGTGAAAAATGAATGTTGCGGAGTGGTTTGGTGTTTATCAGTTTATCAGAGTCACACCTACACCTACATTTTAAGGCGGCTCTTCTTTCGGCGGGAACTTAGGGAATTTACCGGAAGATTTTGCTTAACGTTTATCGCTGCATCATTGAAAGTTTGCTTGTTGGTTCTGTGACGGTGTGGTTCGGTGACATCACAGTCAAAGAAAGGAGAGCTCTAAACAAGAGGATTGTGAGCTGTGAGACCAGAGAGACAGACCAGAGAGACAGACCAGAGAGAGAGACCAGAGAGAGAGAGACCAGAGAGACCAGAGCGAGACCAGAGAGAGAGACCAGAGAGGGATAGACCAGAGAGATACCAGAGAGATACCAGAGAGATACCAGAGAGATACCAGAGAGGGAGAGACCAGAGATATACCAGAGAGAGACCAGAGAGAGAGACCAGAGAGAGAGACCAGAGAGAAACCAGAAAGAGAGACCAGAGAGAGATACCAGAGAGAGACCAGAGAGAGAGACCAGAGAGAAACCAGAAAGAGAGACCAGAGAGAGATACCAAAGAGAGAGCAGAGAGAGACCAGAGACCAGAGAGAGAAACCAGAGAGAGAGAGACCAGAGAGAGAGAGACCAGAGAGACAGACCAGAGGGAGAGACCAGAGAGAAACCAGAAAGAGAGACCAGAGAGAGAGACCAGAGAGAGATACCAAAGAGAGAGCAGAGAGAGAAATACCAGAGAGAGAGAGACTGGAGAGAGAGACCAGAGAGACACCAGAGAGAGACCAGAGAGAGAGAGAGACTGGAGAGAGAGACCAGAGAGACACCAGAGAGAGACCAGAGAGAGAAACCAGAGAGAGAGAGAGACCAGAGAGAGAGACCAGAGAGAGAGACCAGAGAGAAACCAGAAAGAGAGACCAGAGAGAGACCAGAGAAAGAGAGAGAGACCAGAGAGAGAAACCAGAGAGAGAGAGAGACCAGAGAGAGAGACCAGAGAGAAACCAGAAAGAGAGACCAGAGAGAGACCAGAGAGAGAAACCAGAGAGAGAGACCAGAGAGAGAAACCAGAGAGAGAGACCAGAGAGAGAGACCAGAGAGAGATACCAAAGAGAGAGCAGAGAGAGAGAGACACCCGAGAGAGAGACTGGAGAGAGAGAGACCGGAGAGAGAAACCAGAGAGAGAGACCAGAGAGAGACCAGAGAGAAACCAGAGAGAGAGAGAGAGACCAGAGAGAAACCAGAAAGAGAGACCAGAGAGAGAGACCAGAGAGAGAGACCAAAGAGAGAGCAGAGAGAGAGATACCAGAGAGAGAGACTGGAGAGAGAGACCAGAGAGAGAGACCAGAGAGTCTGCTCTGAAAGAGGACTGTTCTGTTCTGGAGGTTCTTATAGACTCATAAAATGAGATCTTAAAATAATCAATGACTCTTCTGGCCCCTGGAAGAGCCATGTTCCAGCTTCTTCCTTCTGAATTGATCAGTCATCCTTTTTAGTTTTAGTTTTGTTTATTCCTGTACTTTTTACCTTGTTCTATTTATATACACTGGGGTCTTTTGGCAAATGTTTTTTTTCTGTGGCTCACTGCATTCTGTTTATGCCACTCATATTTCCCCATCAGTGTTCGCAACCACATACCCGTGTTCCACAGCCCTTGCAGGCGGCAGCAGACGACTGGATCTGAGCCTCGATCTCCACCGCTTTAGTGCAGTGACCCACCGCCGCTCTGCACACGGCACACACGGGCTTCTGAGGGCGCAGACACTCCTGCAGACAGCTCTGGCAGAACCTGAGGGCCAGAGGCAACACTTCAGACAACAAAAACACACTGATACTTGTTTTTTGTAACAGCCTTAGTCCTGGAGCTATAGTCTGTCAGTCTGTGGGAGCGGATCTCTCTCTCTCGTAATATGGGGCTCCCTGGACATTGGTCATCCCGCTCCCTATAGACTTACAGTATGTGCTTGTTATTATTGCATTTCTTGTATTTGAGCGGTTTGATTCTCTGATCTGTTGTTGGTGAATCAGCAGCTTTGTAAAGTCCTTCAAGACGACAGCGGTTGCAATTTAGGGCAGTACACAAAGACGTTGAATTTAGATATGCTTTAGCTATTTATTATCATGATTACCATTCCTCTCACAATAGGGAAATTAAAGTGTTGCATCACCAGGCAGTTACAGAACAGTAGGAATGGGGAAAAAAGTGAACAATAACTATAAACTTACTCTCACTCTATACTAAATACAATAACATCTCTTCCTTTAGCAAAAAAAGAAGCATGGATAAAATAGTGTCAGAAATAGGTATAGTAAAAAAACCCTTAACACGCAGTATTATCCAGAAACTAGCTGGAAAACTCCAAAAATCATTCTTGTCACATATAGGTGAAGCAGTCAAGTTTCAAATTGTGGAGAGAAAATGTCAGACTCTTCTATATTAGACCTGTCAAATCCTTGATTGTGAGGTCAAGTGGGAGCTGATTAATTGCAACTGATTGATTGTTTAAACAGCTGTCAACTGATTCAATCAATCAATCAATCAATGTTTATTTCTATAGCACAGTTCATACAGAATGCAACCCAAAGTGCTTCACATCGGCAACATTTAAAAGCAATTTATAAACAATTTAAAAACAGACTGTAAAAACAAATAAAAAAGACAGTTTAAGAAAATGAATAAATATATACATCAAAAATAAATTTATGATATGATTTCTTGATGATCAGTCGTAGGCACGGCTGAAAAGAACCGTTTTCAGCCTGGACTTGAACATAGCTAAAGAAGGAGCCTGTCTCACACCTTCGGGAAGACTGTTCCAGATTCTAGGTGCATAGGTCTGGAACGCTGCCTCCCCATGTCTAGTCCCGACTCTGGGCACCAACAGGAGGCCAGTCCCCGCGCTCCTCAGAGTTCGAGCGGGCTCGTACGGTACCAGCATGTTGCATATGTATTTTGTTGCGAGACCACAGAGAGACTTATATACAAGGAGAGCTGATTTAAAATCTATTCTCTGAGCCACAGGAAGCCAGTGCAGAGACCTGAGGACTGGACTAATGTGGTCGTACTTCCTGGTTCCTGTCAGGACTCGAGCTGCAGCATTTTGAATATACTGTAGCTGCTTTACAGCTCCTTTGGACAGACCAGAGAGAAGGCCGTTGCAGTAGTCTAACCTACTAGAAACAAAGGCATGAATGACAATCTCTAAGTCTGCCTTAGACTTATGCCCCTAATTCTAGAAATGTTCTTTAGATGGTAGAAAGCCGCTGAAGTTACAGATTTAATGTGACTATTGAAATTGAGGTCCGAGTCCATGATTACTCCTAGATTTCTAACCTGATTTTTGTAATTTGGAGACAGAGAAAAGGATTGGAGAAGGCTGCACACACTTTCTCTGAGTTTCTGTGGGCCAAACACAATAACTTCAGTTTTGTTTGAATTTAACTGAAGAAAGTTATTTTGCATCCATGAGTCAATCTGTTTAATGCAGTGACAGAGTGACTCAATTGGCCCAAGTTCACCCGCAGCCAGTGAGACATAAATCTGCGTATCATCTGCATAATTGTGATAGGATACATTTTGGCCTCGAATCAATTGACCTAGTGGCAACATATAAATATTAAAAAGAAGGGGGCCCAGAATTGAACCTTGGGGCACTCCACTTGTTAAGGCCACCTGGTCTGAGACACAGTCCCCAATCTCAACAAAGTACTGTCTGTCCTCTAAGTAGGACTTGCACCAACTTAAGGCAGTGCCAGTGATGCCAACCCATCCCTCAAGTCTCTGCAGGAGGATCTCGTGATCAACAGTGTCAAAGGCTGCACTGAGATCCAACAGGACCAACACTGTGGCTTTGCCTAAGTCACTGTTGACGCGGATGTCGTTGGAAACTTTTATCAGGGCAGTTTCTGTGCTGTGGTGGGGCCTGAAACCTGATTGAAACAGGTCAAAAACATTATTCAGCAGCAGGAAATTGTTTAGCTGCAGGTAAACGGCCTTTTCCAACACCTTCCCTAAGAAAGGCAAATTTGAAATGGGTCTGTAATTGCTGAGCACCGCAGGATCAAGACTGCTCTTCTTTAAGAGAGGCCTGATCACTGCAGTTTTCAGAGGACCAAGGAAGGTTCCTGACTGAAGAGATGCGTTCACTATTGCAGTGAGTGAAGGCAACAAACTGTTAAGAACAAGTTTTAAAAATCTAGTGGGCAACACGTCAAGGCAGCAAGTGCACAATTTCAATTTTAAAACAATTTCTTTGACCAATTTTTCAGTGACAGGTGAAAAAAAAGGACAGCTCAGAAACTGCAGTTGTTTGTGTAGAAATTTGTGATGTGGGATTTATCGCTCTTTTAATGGATTGAACCTTTTCATTGAAAAATACAGCAAACTCATTGCACTTAAATGTGGAAATAAACTCAAGAGGCAACTGTGATGGGGGGTGTGTTAATCTGTTCACGGTTGCAAAAAGGGCATGGGAGTTATTTCTAGAGTTTTCAATGGTCTGGGTGAAATACCGTTCTCTTGTAGTACTTAAAATACTGTTGTACTCATGCTGCTTTAATTTAAACATTTCGTAATGGACATGGAGTTTAAACTTGCGCCATTTCCGCTCTGCCCTGCGGCACTCTCTTCTTTTCTCTGACAAGGTCATCATACCTCCAGGGTGCTTTTTGTACACTTTTAGTTTTCTTGGTTTTTATGGGGGCGATGGCATTCATTACATTTGAAATGGCATGAGTTACAGTGTTTAATAAGTCATCTACAGTAGAGCATGGGGCAATTTCGAACTTGATTCTTTCCATAAAAAGAGCGTCTGTTCCATCCACTATGTGTCTTCGCCTCAGAACTGTAGGTTGAGTGGGTGGTTTAGGAATGACTGACAGGTTAAAAAAGACACAGTAATGATCGGACAAAGCAATATCGACCACTTTAACATTTGTGATGTTAACTCCCTTCGTTATTAGAAGGTCGAGTGTGTGGCCTCTATTGTGCGTTGGGGCTCGCACGTGCTGGGCCAGACCAAAGGTTTCAAGAACAGAGCCGAGCTCTTTTGTATCTTTGTTTTCAGCCATATCCACATGAACATTAAAATCACCAGTAATTATCAGTGAATCAAAATCAATACATACAACTGATAAAAATTCTGTAAAATCCTCAATAAAATGTTGACCGTGTTGGGGAGGCTTGTAGATAATGACGACGAGTATGGATGGGGATTTATTCATCTCAACTTTGAACGACACATATTCAAAGGAGGCAAAGTTCCCAAATGTCAGTCTATGGGTAACCATGCTGTCCCTAAATAAAGCACACACGCCTCCACCTTTTTTATTCTCTCGTGCTTCATATTCAAATGTGTAGGTGGGAGGGGCTGTTTCTAGTAGAACAGCATTACCAGTGTTTTTATCAAGCCATGTTTCAGTTTAAAACATAAAATCGAGGTTATGAGAGGAGATAAAATCGTTAATTAAAAATGATTTGTTGCCAAGGGATCTGACATTAAAAACAGCAAGATTCAGTATGGTTTCAGCAGAACTGGAAGCATTTGTACAGGGAATATGAATTAAGTTCCTTTGATCTGACTTTTGAGTTTTTTTGCGATCTTGCTTGGGTCTTATGATTACGTGAGGGTGGTTCAGAGTGGAAGAGTGTAAAGGAGAGACGGGAATAACACGACAGTAGCTCAGTTGGTAGAGCATTGGCCTTAAGGCCAGAAGGTTGTGGGTTCAATTCCCACCTCTGCACCTTCTCCACCGACTCCCACTGATGACTGCTGTCGTTGTGTCCTTGGGCAAGACACTTAACCCCACTTTGCCCAAAAGCCCCCACTGAAAGATCAAGGCTATGCTCACAGTCAGAGAGCAGCCGTCCTCCTGTGGACTCACCACCTGCAGAGGGTCAGTGAGGGGCTGGTGCTATGAGACTTGGGTGGCATCTCTGACTGCCACCCCCCTGACCCAGGAATGGATTAAGGGTAGAAAATGGATGGATGGATGGATGGGAATAACACGAAACAGGGGATGGGGGCCAGTGTTCACGCTGCTGTACTCACACGGTGCTGACAGTGGAGCGGTGGAAGGCAGCGGTGGAGGCGGTGACGCAGCCAGTCACACGCATGATCTCACAGTCCACTGTACCACGTGACACAGATAGTCCACCAACAAACGTGTGCCAAACTTATTTGGGTGCAGACCATCAGGGCGATAAGCAATGTGGCGTCTCCAAAAAAGGCCAAAATTGTCAACAAAGACCGCGCCGAAAGAGCTACACACAGACTGCAGCCATTGGTTCAGCGCCAGAACGCGGCTGTAGAAGCAGTCGCCCCTGTTCACTGTCGGGATTGGACCAGAGATGAAGACCGATAGACCAGATAGGCGTAGAAGTTGGAAAAGATCCGTAAAGTGCTTCTTTGTCACTTCAGAATGCTGCATCTTCACGTCGTTTATTCCAACGTGCACAATAACCATGGAAATTGTGTCGGGCATGGACTTCAGCAGCGAGGGGAGCCGTATCAACAAGTCTGGCACAGTGGCACCCGGGATACAATGCGTTACTGCATTGAAATAACGAACATGCCTTATTATGGAATCTCCAATTATTAAAGTTGTCTGCGGAAAGAGTGGACGCGGAGAGGGCGTATCCACTGGACCTGGCCCACAGCGCAGCTGATCGCGCAGGGAGGAAGGGGCGCGTTGGCTCTCTGCTCTGGGCTGCTCTCCGTGAGCGCCCCGTGAAGTGGAGACGGCAGGATGACTCGGACCAGTGCACGGCTTTTGAGCAAACGGGGAAGGGTGTCCCGGTTGAGGCGACGTTTCGTGATTTGGCTGCTGTGTGACCAGGGGGACAGGAGGAGGAGAGGCTGAAGTGCGTGGACTCGGCGCTCCACTCTCAGGCCACTGTGGGGTCCATGGATAGGGCTCAACTGGACCACTGTGTCGCCTGAGCACAGCATCCTTTAGGAGCCTCTTTCTGGCGGATGATTTCTCGCGTGGACGTTGTGCGGCGAGTGAAAGTTTTACGGGGAGTAGGGCTGGGTCATATCATACCTTTCAAGGTAATACCGGTGTAATGTTATGCTACAATATGAATTTGACATATCGCGATAGAACTTGGTCTTAACGCGCGTGCGCAGTACCAATGTTTTCATGCAGTCTAGCACATGGAGTGAGAAGCATGGCGGCGACCGAGGAGGCGGCATGCACAAGTGAACCAGAATTGGTTTGCAAAAAAGGTGCAACATCCGTGGTGTGGAGCTGGTTTGGTTTTCGCCCGTCGGATACACGGCAGAACACTATTTTTTGCAAAATATGCAAGCGGTCCGTCGTGGCGAAGGGAGGAAACACCACGAACCTGTTTCACCATTTGAAGCAAAAGCACTTACTGGAGTACAACAAAGCTGTAAAAGCACGCGAGGAGGCGTCTGCATCAACTGATGATGTGGTGAGACCAAAGAAACACACTCAGCAAACAATCGGCGTAACTTTAAATAATGGCGCACCTTATGAAAAAGGTAGCAAAGGCTGGGGGGACCTAACTAATGCGGTGACACGTTGTTTGGCCAGGGATATGATGCCCATTCAGAGTGTCGAAAGAGAGGGCTTTTCGAAAATGCTTAAAACATTTGATCCCCGCTACAAGCTGCCCTTCAAGAAGTACTTTTCTAAAGTCGCCTTGCCGGCATTATATGAAGACGCCCGTACTGAAGTGTCAAATGCACTCTCTTCGGTGGAGTTTTTTGCGTCCACCACGGACATGTGGTCTAGCCGCACATCGGACCCATACCTGAGTCTCACAATACACTACGTGGACAAAGACTGGAAGCTACAAAATAAGTGCCTTGAAACAAGTTTCTTCCCTGATGACCATACGGGGGAAAATATAGCGAAGGGCTTAAAAGAATTCCTCAACTCATGGAAACTTGGAGAGGAAAAACAAGTGTGTGTGACGACAGACAACGGAGCGAATGTAGTGAAAGCCACCGCGCTTAACAACTGGACCAGGCTTTCATGCTTCGGACATCGCCTGCACATTGCAATAGGTAAGTTAATTAAAACGTTAGATGTAGTCTTGTATTCTTTAAAATAAAGGTAGCCAGAACTGTATTGCATGGTGTTGATTTGATTTAAAAATAAATAAATTAATAATTTGTAGTCTAAGGCTGGATGTGGTCAGTTTTGATGCAAATCCTGCTTTGGTTTAGTCCTTGTGTGGCCTCTGTTTGGTTTTTATATTTATAAAAATAAAATTACACAAATGTTAATACCCTTTGGAATGGGCACTTAAAGTTTATATATAGATAAAATAAACTTTAATTGTCACCCATTCCACCCAATAATATTTGTTTTAAATAATAAACTTGGTGTTCATTTTTTTGTCCTTTGTGCCTTTTTAGAAAGAAGCATGAAAGACCCAAGGATTGAACGAGCAGTTGGAGTAGGCAAAAAGATCGTCGCTGCGTTTGGCCACAGCTGGAAGCGCCAACGAGCTCTTCAGGCTGCCCAAAAAGAACTGAGCCTACCAGAACACAAACTCATAACTGAATGTTGCACTCGTTGGGGTTCGAGGCAAAGAATGATCCAGCGACTTCTTGAACAGGAAAAGGCTATAGCACAGGTTTTAGCTGCTGATAAAACCACAAGACACCTCGTGTTGACATGGCAAGACATAGAGGTACTTGACTCTATCAGCACTGCCTTGAGTCCGCTTCTCGAGTTCACAGATGCTTTTTCTGCTGAAGAATACGTGACCATTTCATGTGTTAAGCCTGTTCTTCAGATTTTCAACAACGACCTGTTAAAAGTAAAAGACAATGACACTCAGCTGACCAAAGACATCAAAACAGCAATACTTGACTACATGAACAAAAGCTACAAAGACAGTGTCACAGAGAGGCTTATTAACATGGCTTCTCTCCTTGATCCACGCTTCCGCACAGAATATCTCAGCGAGAGTGAAAGTGAAGCCATCAAAGTCCAAGCCATCAGTGAACTGGAGCCTCTTGTGTCAGACCAGGGTAGCACAGCTATAGGTTTTTCAGAAACCCCTCCTCCAGCCTCAGGAGACCAGATAAGTCAGGGAGCTGCTAAAAAGCAAAGGAAGAGCCTTGGAAGCTTTTTGAAGGGGTCAGTTAGTGGCAAGACAGATGTAACTGCAGAAAGGTTATTATCTGAACTGAGCAGCTATGTAAATAGTCCAGCAGCAGACAGTGAGTGTGATCCACTTGTGTGGTGGAAAATTCACACAGTAAACTTTCCCCACATCAGCAGGTTAGCCAGAAAATACCTGTGCATTCCTGCTACTAGCTCTGCATCTGAAAGGTTGTTCAGCACAGGTGGAAATGTAGTAACTTGTCAAAGGTCATCCCTGAAGCCCTCAACTGTTAACATGCTGGTGTTTCTGACAAAGAATCTTAAAGCTTGAACATATGAAGCTAACTTCTACCTCCATGCTCAATAGCATTATTCATCCACATATTATTTTTGTTTACCCAAGGGTTTGTGCAATTTTATTATTTCACTTATTTATTTTGCACACTGCAGTTTTATGTTGCAAAGCAACTCTACTTTACTTTTGTGGATATGCTCAGGAGATGTCAACAAATTCAATGCCTTGTGATTTCACAAACTTGTTTCACAATTTACAACTTGTGTAATATTGATTTTGGTACAAAATGATAGTTTTAATGCACATCAAAAACAGCCGCTTGTTTAATTGAAAAGAAATGTTTTCTTCTATTTGCACCAATAAAGCTGTGCAGTTTTGAAATATTTTGTCTAGCTTCAAATATATCATCTGTTATATCGTTATCGCAAATTTTGCTATTTATATCGTGATAAAATTTTTTGACCATATCGCCCTGCCCTAACGGGGAGTACTTGTTCACTCTTGGGCGCCGAGCACTTTGCATTCCCCGGGGGCTGGGGGTCAGCTGTGGACTCTTGTTCTCGGGGCACCTGCGCACCAGGAGGTTCCGCTGGCGGTGCCGGGACGTCAGCAGCCAGAGCCGCATACCGGTTTGAAATACCAAGGACCTGGACCACAGCACTAGATGCTTCTTCACACCCCGTGGGCTCATTATCCGTACCCGGGCGTTTTGGTGTTGAACAGGATCCAGGACCAGCAGGACCATCCCAGACAAGAGTGTCATAGTATGCTGCACTCAATGACAGGATTCGTTTGTGTTGACCACCAGCGACCTCCAGGAGTTTGGAAACAAGTGCCTCTTTTTCGTTCAGCTGGGTAGTGAGACGCAGGACTTCACTTCTAAGAAAAGAAATTGATGCTCGATCACTTTCCCGAAGTTCTAAGGTGAGTCAGCTGAGCTCTTGCACCAGATTATTTGTTTCTTTATGTTTTTCCATTTCTTTGGACGGGCTTGTTGTCTCGTGGTAGCCCTGTGATATCCACTTCAAGGCTAATTTAATGTTACAACGTATATTTAGCGACGTTGATGAAGCCCCTCTGTAACCTTCTTCTGTAGAATGTGCTGTGCCTTATAGCCAGTAATAAAATATTCAATAAAAATAGCTTAAAACGTACTTAAAATACAACTATTGTAGAGCTGACTTCACGTCCCTGGTCTCACAGTGTCTCTCTGGTCTCTCATACATATTATATATATATCGAATACATATTCAAGTTAACTTTCTGTAAAATCAGACAAAATGTTTTATCACAACTGCTTAGCTTTTTACACAGCTTCAGTTGGTCTTTCAGTGATTCAGTGATGTTAAACCTTAGAGAAAATTTAACAAGCTGAGAAGATGCAAATGACTGCATGATAAAACAACCCTATGTTTTGTCCTCTCTAGAAGATGTTTTCCACGGGCATCTCCAGGGTTGTTTAGGTAAAATGTAGAAAATCCCATATTTATTGACTGAGGAACTAATTGATTATCAAAACAATCCCTAATTACGGCTCAAAACAGGTCAGCGCTCTCCCCGTATGTCCAACTATTCTCCAACAAGTCTCACTGGTGGGACAGGAGGTTCTGAGGACAAGGATGATCTGGGACATTTATGGAGACTGTGATTGTATGATGACTCTTAAAAGGTACACTGTAATTTTTACTACTAATTTATCCTGTGTGAGATCAATAAAGTACATCGTAATCTTATCTTACCATCTGGCGTTGAGATCATATATTGCAAGTCTACTACCAACACTATGGAAGCCTTAAGCCTAGCGTACATCGACAGAGAAACTGGGTTCACAACAGCATTCGTCTCAAAGGGAATCTCATAATTGTTGATCTGGTGGGGACAACTAGTTGCAAGGCGGCTTTTGGCGACTGAGAGGAGATGGTGGGAGATGATCAGTTGCCGAAATCGGTCGATGTGCGCGCTCTTACAACTGGAGATGAACAGTCGGTCTCCAGTTTCAGTCAGTTGCCCGTGTTCTACTTTTCGGCAACTAGTTGTCCTCAATTTCGGAGATATGACCCAATGTGCGCGCTTCATGCGCCGCTCCGACAACGTGTGTGTATTGCGTGTATTGCGAGCCCGCAACAGTTTATGTCAGAAAAAACACTGTAGTTGAGGCCAGTTCCTGTCGATGTACGCGCTGTTATTCCCGAGACTGGTCTGATACTGGGTCAGATTGTCGATGTGTGCGGGGCAGCAACTCATATGCGACGGATATAATCAGTTGCCAGTCCGATGTACGCTAGGCTTTAGAGGTTTGACAGTGGTACCCAACACCCGGTAATTCACAGGACCACCAAGGAAAGAATTCTTCAGTTTAATAGATTGACTGGATCTCTCCATACACCAGCACGCCACAATGTGCCTAGACGCACGTGCGAGGAGGTGGATTTGTAAACAAAGTCCGCGTTGTTGCAGAGGCTCTAGTGTTTTCCCATGGATCTATTATTATATACAGTTTTACAAACGCGGTGAGGAGAGAGAGACGCCTGGAGGAATGGGAAATCTGTGGGAGCTTAAAACCACAATGGTCCGAGAAGCAGCACATTGCCTTGGACATTAACACAGCCGCGGCAGAACTGCAGATTATTTGCTTTCTCCAGGCGCTGCATCATCACGGTAAGAAAACACAACATTCCCTCACGCTGGTTGTTACGACCCTACAGTTGAGCTCGTAGGGGAAGAGGGAAGTAACATAAAACCAAGGATGTAATAATGGTAAATTAGATGGCCTTTTAATAAAACAGGCAAAAGGGGTAACAGTTTGTACTGGACAGCGTCAGAGTCAAATAAAACACACAAAAACACAGGGTTCTCAAATAAACACAAGCACAGAGCCACACAGGCAACCTTAAGCTTAATCTTTAGCGCACACAGACAACACGTTCTCTCAGAACGGTGGCAGACAAGACACTGATTCAAGCCGCCCCGCACAGAAGGAGCAGACTCGTTTTCAAGGCTGGTGCTGATTAGCCGCAGCGATGGATTGGCCAGACGTGGAAAGCGCGACCCAATCTCCGAACGGAAGGCAGAACTGGGAGGCAGCGTGCGTAGCCGGTGCACCATGCAGCGGGGCGGAGCCTGAGCAGAACAGCAGCACAACACAGGAGGGAGGGAAGCGGGTGTACGACGCGGCCCAGCGCCAGCGGCCGTAACACTCCCCCCCTTAAAATACAAGCCATCTCAAAGTAAAATCAGAGCAAATTTGTGAATTACTCACCCGAACACAGAATCACAGACTTTGCCTCTCTCGTGGCGAATCCCTCAAAGGAACACACAGATCAAGGCCGCGAACTGAAACTTGCAGAGCGAGAGCCAAAACGCTCTCCATGGTGCTGAAAGTGCCGCTCGCCTGACCCAAGCCTGGTGGCCCTAGCCTTGTGCTTCCGTACAGAAGTGGCGGGTGGAGTAAAGTGCGGCGGTACTCGTGGTTTCACTGGACTGGCGGGCAGACTACAACCGCACTGTTCTGGAGGACGGGTGTGCGCCACAGCACAACCCGTGGGCATCTGACGATCAGAGGCACACACAAGCGGGGACAGAACCGCCTCCAACAGGGGAGGAAACACCATGCCCCCTGCCAAATCATTACATAAAATCATGTCTACATTTTCAATGGGTAGCGCAGGGACAACAGCTAACGGAAACTTTCCTGTAACGAGGTTTGACTGGACATGAACAGAGTGAACGGGCCGCGGGCGGTAGCCCATCTCAACTCCCCGTAACACACTCCTGTAACCACAGTAAGAGCGGTATGAAAACGGGAGAGCACTGGCCAAAATCAAGCTCTGGGAACCGCCAGTGTCTCGTAGGATACGGATGGGGCGTTGATCTGGTGCTTCGCCATTCAGTGATACTAGGCCCTGTGATATGAAAGGCTCAAAACAGGAGCCGTGATTTTGGACAGTATTGGGTCCTGACTTATGACTTACAGATTGAATTAACCCAATGCTCTGAACGTTTGGAGCTGAACACTCTTCCTTTTGTCTGAGAGTAGGGCAGTCTGCGATTACGTGTCCGGGCTCGCGGCAGTAGAAGCAGACTCTGTCCCTTGTGGAGGTTCCAGGAGAGCGTGGACGATCAGGCTGCACAGACACACGCGTCTCATTAACAGAAGATGACGAAAAGTTCTTATGAGTCAACACAAACTCATCTGCTAACACAGAAGCCTCAGAAATAGTTTTAACCTTTTGCTCATTCAAATACACAACCACACGCGCAGGCAGGTTGTTCTTAAAGTCTTCTAACAACATTAATTCACGCAAAGAATCGAAATCTTGGGCCTTCGCAGAGGCACACCATTTGTCAAACAGATTTCCTTTTTCCCGTGCGAACTCAACACACGTTTGACTCGGGGCTTTACGGAGATTTCTAAAAGACTGTCTGTAGGCCTCAGGCACTAACTCATACGCGCGTAAGACTGCTCTCTTGACTGCATCATACTGCAGGCTCTCAGCGAGAGGCATCGCAGCGATTATCTCTTGTGCTTTACCGTACACTTTACACTGCACAAGGATAGGCCAAACTTCACGAGGCCAATTTAACGCCATCGCGATTCTCTCAAAAGCAGAAAAATACGAATCAACCTCACTCTCCCTAAATGTAGGCACAATTTGTATCATTTTACTCACGTCAAGAGAGTCATGAACAGCTGGGGAGAGGGCTGTGGCAGGTGCAGCGACGCCCGGGCGTTGAGTAGGACTGGGGAGGCGGCCTTCGGCCTCCAGCTCAAGGCGTCTGAGGCGCACAGCTTTGTCAGCCTCGATCTCAAGCCTCCGTATATGCAGTTCGAGCTCGGCACTGCGGTCCCGATCCTTCTGCTCGGCCTCCATCTTGATGCGTGCCAGCCGCAAAGCGCGCCGAGCACCACCAACTGAGCCGGGAGAGGAAGGAGCTGGGGAGGGCGGCCCGTAGCGAGGAGGAGTGCGCGGTGGTTCAGGCCGCGCATCGCCCTCTACAAACTCACGCTCCGCTCCGGGAGGGCCATCCGCAGGCGTCTCCGTACGTCTCGGGGTAGTCGCATGCACGATGCTCTCATCAGACCTCTCAGCCTCTGGGATCAAACGCAAGCCCCTCTCCACCAAACCATCCAGGAGCAGCACCTTGAGTTCGGCCTTGCTGCTCTGACGGGAATACAAAATCTCAAAATGATCGGCAACCTCAAATAGATCCTTCTTTTTACAGCGCTCAAGCGCTTCGGCCGAGGGATGAAGCAAGAATGCCTGTAAATTGAAAGCGGTTGCCATTCTCCCAATGTCCAAATACAATACAGCTTACCCCCCCACTTACCTAATAAATTTGATTCGGCCACCTAATGCCGGGAACGTGTAGATCCCGGACGAGCCCCCAAATATGTTACGACCCTACAGTTGAGCTCGTAGGGGAAGAGGGAAGTAACATAAAACCAAGGATGTAATAATGGTAAATTAGATGGCCTTTTAATAAAACAGGCAAAAGGGGTAACAGTTTGTACTGGACAGCGTCAGAGTCAAATAAAACACACAAAAACACAGGGTTCTCAAATAAACACAAGCACAGAGCCACACAGGCAACCTTAAGCTTAATCTTTAGCGCACACAGACAACACGTTCTCTCAGAACGGTGGCAGACAAGACACTGATTCAAGCCGCCCCGCACAGAAGGAGCAGACTCGTTTTCAAGGCTGGTGCTGATTAGCCGCAGCGATGGATTGGCCAGACGTGGAAAGCGCGACCCAATCTCCGAACGGAAGGCAGAACTGGGAGGCAGCGTGCGTAGCCGGTGCACCATGCAGCGGGGCGGAGCCTGAGCAGAACAGCAGCACAACACAGGAGGGAGGGAAGCGGGTGTACGACGCGGCCCAGCGCCAGCGGCCGTAACACTGGTGATAAAGTATTCTGGCGATTGTTTTGTGGGGATTCTGTGTGTTTTATTTGAGGCTTTGTCCCTGAATAAGGTTAGTTGAAACTTGTGCCATAGTAGTTGGACTGCGCTCGGATCGGTCAGAACATCCTGAGACTGTGTTGCAGATTCTTCCTCGTTCTCATTATTGTCAGTTTGAAAAAAGTTACGTATTGTTCACATGTGAGTCTGTTGTGTACAAACTACACAATGTGCCTCCTGTTGGTGCGTGTGGTTAGCGATGTTGACACTTTGCTGCTACGACAACGGATATTTGCCTAATTATTTCTTAAGAATGTTGTTTGGGTTGTTCTTTTACATAACTGTGGTCCCCCATGGTTCTTTTATATATCTGTGGTCCTCCATGGTTCCTTCTTCAAACTTGTGAAGTCACGGTGAAAGCAACGATATCAGTAGCAGTAGAAACAAAAACGCGATCATCTCGTCCTTTTTGTCCCTTATCCACCACCGTTTTTCAAGATGGCGCATTGACACGGAGAGCACTCCTCTCTCATGGAAACGTATACGTTAAATTCTAAGCCTATGAAAACAATTTAAAAAACATGGTGGAGGTAAATATTCTTAAAAAGGTCACATTTGTTTTTAGTTAACATGTTTTTTCATATGGAGCAGCTGTAAAAATTACACTGGGTGGTTTTGAGTGTTTTTTGTTGGATTTATTTTGTGTTCGAATTTTTGGATTTGTAATCTGCGAAAGGTAAATCAACAATTATGAGATTCCCTTTGAGACGAATGCTGTTGTGAATCAGATAATAAAAATTATATTGATGTGATTTGATGCCTTAAACACTTAGGTAGCATTATATTACAGGGCCAGGTAGTCGGGAAATATACAAGAAGTATACACTATACAATAATACATTTTAAAGTTACTGACATCCCCATGTGTAGTGAATTATGGCAGTTTAGACGTTTCTTTACATAAAACAGTCAAGATTATATTTTGAGAATTTTCCGGTCTTTCCAAATTCATCACAGTTCAGCCAAATTTGTATCATGGTATGGTATGGTATGGTTTTTATTTTTACAGGGACAGTGTACAATAAACATTAGCCAGAAGGAGAGATGCATTGTACCAGGTTGTAGCAGCAGTGCCAATTTACACCTGTAGTCCCTGAGCAGGTTGTTGTAAAACAGTAAAATAAAAGTAGAGTAGAATTTTACTTCCTGGTTGTTAATGATGACAAAACCATGAGATGTGTACTACCAAACAAACTGGACAAAAACCACTCCAATGTGAAGATAAAATGTATTTTGACAAATACTAAATACAGTGTGACTTATTGGAGGGTGGAAAAAGAGTGGAAAAGCTGCTTCAAACATTTTTTATCTGTATAAAACTATAGGCATTTAAAACGTGTAATTCCACTGTCTCGGACCACCACAGACAATCTTGTATTCTGTGTGTGTTTGTTTGTTGGTAATAAGCAAGTTGACTTTACTAGAATGTGACAAAAGGTAATTCAAGCCTGACATTTCAGTTTCAGACAAAATTAGAAAATAGAAAAGTGAATCTGATTCCAGTTGATTAATTTTGACAACCCCAAATACTGAATGCACAAAAACTAGGCTAACCAGCTTTGTGGCATCTCCTTTCCACAGAGCAGTTGCTTTTAGAACCAAAAATCCCTTTAAAAACTAGAATTTGAAAGATGCATGGAGATCACTTTGAGGCTTCTCAAGTTGCATTAACAGATTCAGGATTGTTGTGGCTGAGGTAGAATTAGAAGAAGTCATTTTGGATAGTTCTTTAGATTCTTAACAGGCTATATTTCAAAAGTTCTGTAGTCTCACAAAATTATTCAGTCAAAACAGTGATCAATAAGCTAATCTTCTTTTTTTGTTGTTCATTAACAGCTGACTCTGGCCTAGGTTATTAATGCCCTCATAAAATTACACACACCCGCCTGAAGGGGGCGAGAAGAAATGTAGTCTTTTGGGAGGCGTGGAGAACTCTCTTAATGGCGATGTGGACTACAAATCCCAAGCGGTACCTTCTCTTTGATGTAAACAAAACTGAAACTGAAATGTCAGGCTTGAATTACCTTTTGTCACATTCTAGTAAAGTCAACTTGCTTATTACCAACAAACAAACACACACAGAATACAGGATCGTCTGTGGTGGTCCGGGACGGTAGCAGTCGCGGCTGTCTCTGTTGTTATCAAAGCCGGGGCATAGGAGCTAGTGGCAGACAGACATGACATATCTTCATTACAAGGGGAAAGGAGACAGAATACTCACGTGTGGCCACATTGTGTTCTTACGGGGCTGTCAAATATCTCCAGACACACGGGGCACAGGAATTCGGATACGTCGCTGGTCCCATCGGGGGCATTTTTCTTGTGGTGGGAAGAGCTAAATCCTCCGAGCATCGCCATTTCTTTTCTTCACCGGAGCTTTCCTGGTTCTATGGGTGAACGCGAGGGGCGGAGCTAAGTTAAAGATATACGGATGAAGCCATTGATCTAACGTTTTATTATTTATTAACCAACTAAGGAGGATACGTGCAAAGAACCTGAAAATAAATGCACCCTGAAAATAATATGATAAGCCGTAGCCTTGTTTCCACCAGTCCTACAGCTCTGTTCTACCCGGTTGTGTTTCAATACACTTTTGTATCTGGTACCGTATCCTAGCAATCTACCCACAACAAACCAGTATCCGGGGAAATTCCTTGGTAACCATGGTCACGCTGGCCAAACACTGTCAGTTAGCACCATAGACTGTATATATTAACGGACAGAGTCACGCCTATCTCCGCCGTTCATAGGAGTTGGCCATGAAAGGTGCTTTCATGGAGCAATCCAAGATGGCCGCGAGTGGTCCCGCCCACAAGAAAATTGTTAAAAAACGCATCTGCTCATGCGTCAGCCGGCGCAGCTCCATTCATTTGAACGAGAGACTTCAAAAATTCACCGCGAGTAAACTAGAGTGAACCAAAAAAATCCACCCCCCTCAGCATTGACACACATGTGGAACGGAGCTTTGGGCCAAGAGCCAACTTTTGGTCCATCCTGTAAAGACGTTTTTGAGAGGTCTGCCAACGCTATATGTTAGCATTGGCTAATTCTCCACCCCCATCGGCCCGGGGTGGTATTGCAGCATGTCAGCGCACGCCATTTTGGCCACTTTTGAGCTGGGACCCGCCCCCACTGGTAAGCACACTTCAGTACCAGCTATTCCTTCATAGAGCAAGGGCCAATCAGGTATTACATAATGGTACCGGTCAAATAAAGCCGATGGTAACGCTCCTAATCAGGGGAGAGCAGAGTATAGAGCCGAGTAGAGTAGAGTAGGGCCATGTAGGGCTGGTGGAAACAGGGCTATCTGTGTAGTCTCTCCTATGACAGAATACCATTATCAACACATATGTATATAAAAAAATACATATGAATGGGCTTTATTTTTTCTGTTCATGCCAATCACAATTTCAACTTTCTTTGAATATTAATGTTACTTGCAAATAAGCTCAACACGATTTGAACTTATGTGAATTGTGTTGAGCATACTGTGGTTGTTGAGCTCATTTGCATATTTGAATACATTTTAAAATATTACTTCCATATATGTCTGTTGTGTAAAGTCTCACTGTAATAGAGTTAAAGGGGAAATTAAGGGGTACATAGTCTTGATGGGTTGATGGAAACCTTTTGGCCAACTATGATATTTCTTTACACATTCCATGCACACTCTCCATGCACCCATGTACATCTGCGACATGTTAGTGCCATATGAACCAACTCAACTCTGAGGAGCACAAGGACTGGCCTCCTGCTTGTGCCCAGAGTAAGGACTATCCATGTTTAGTTATTACTATGAGCACAAGCAGGAGGACACAGAATATCATAGTCATGCTGCAATGTGAAGACAAGTAGTGAAGTAAGTATACACAGGCTTCTACTCTACTAAAAAAAACAAGTTCAGCTGTGCATACAACTGAAGGCTGTATTCTCACTCTTTTTAAACGCACTGTGATCTTTTATGATTGTAATGTCATGTATGATTTTAATATAGTTTTGTGAAACACTTTAAGTTGCCATGTATATGAAATGTGCAATACAAATAAACCTGCCTGATGTGTCATCTATGGTAAAAAAAAAAATACGATCGCATTTTTGTTCATCATAAATCTCCAGCAGCTGTTGTACTTCTGTGTCGCCTCCGCACGTGGGCTCCTGATGCTGGTGAACTGTCAGACCTGTGCGCATGCGCCGTGGGAAGATGGGAATTTCCAACAGCGGAGGCGTCGCTAACAGAGCTAGCACTGGTTTAAAGGTAAGATTTACGCACTTCAGTCACAGCCCTGCAGAGGCACCGGGTCCACTTTGGCTTATTTACTCTACACGACAGTCACACACACGTAAACAGGCTCCTGGTGATGAGAATGACACAGACTTGTCCAGAGCCGAGCGCACTGCTAACCTCGGCAGCCTTTAGCTCAATGGGCGTTTACGGAGAGGGGCCCAAGCTCATCATAATAATAGTAATAATAATAACAATGTATTGGTTTTACATAGCGCTTGTCAGGTCTCTCAAAGACGCCCAACATGTCATTATTTTTTTCACTCCATACACGGTGGTGGTAAACTACAGATGTAGCCACAACTGCCCTGGGGCACACTGGCTGAAGCGAGGCAACCAGTAATGTATGGTATGATTTTTATTTGTACAGGGACAGTGTACAATAAACGTTAGCCGAGAGCAGAGATGCGTTGTACCAGATTGTAGCAGCAGTGTTATTTTACACCTGTAGTCCCTGAGCAGGTTGTTGTAAAACAGTCAAATAAAAGTAGATTTGTACATTACCGTACATTATCAGACAGAAATGACAAAAGTATGTACCATTGGTCCCTCTGACCACCACCACCAACAACAACCATTCACACACACCAGACTCATTCAATGTGGGGGAAGTGTCTTTCTTGCCTGAAGACACAACAACAGTTTAGCACTTCACAGCTGCCCACTGTGGCACCTGGTGTTTCCAGAGGTCTCCCATCTCAGTGCTAACCAGGCCATACCAGGCATAACATCTACAATGTCTTTAGAGACTCTTGAGATTGTGTGTTTTGAACTCTTCCTCTAAGATCAGTATAAAACATAACTTTAGTAGGTGTATATTAGGTACAGAAATAGTATTATTATAAAAATAAAACAAATTCAGGAAAAACTGATTTCACTATGACTGTATTGCCTATCAACGTGGTGCATATCATATGATATATTATGAACATAATCCAAGTGCTGTTAAAGATAGAGGTTGGCTTCTAAGCCAAAGCATTCATTCATTTGTTTATTTGTTTCAAACATGCACAATATTTACAAACAATTTATACAGTAATAGTATACAAGTGAATAGGGAATATATATTGCTTACTTATATATTACTTATGGGAATTGCTATTTGTAACTGTCTGAGGGCAGTGAGTGGGGACTTCTTTGCAATATGTGATGAAATTTATTAAGCACATTCTATTGTTATTTTTTTTTCAGCTGTGAAGACCCAAGAAGAGTCTATTCGGACTCATCCTCTCCCATGTGACCTTGAAATACGCCTATAGTGAAACTGAAAGACCCATTTGAATTTTTATTTCTGGACAAAATGAGTGAAAGAATCAATTGAGCTAATCTGCCTCTACAAATGCCTGAGTGTGTGACCAGGTCAGGCTTTTGGCACTTTATAGAAGACATGGCTCAAAGAAGATGCACATACAGTCTGCTGCTCAGTTCCACCAATTGAAACAATTCCATCTCTTGTGGATGATGCATTGCTGAGTCCACGAAAAGTCTGAATCCCTCCCACTTCTCTAAAACCTTGTCACCATTGAGCTGATGCCAGTGTGTGCAGTTAATTATGATAACACAAGATGGTGCTTGAATCTAGCATCTCCGTGCAGAGTATGCTGAAAGGGGCGAGGCTCTCTCACAAAACTACAACAGCTGACTAACAGTCCGCTGCCGACATGGATGCCAAGCTTAAAGAGGACCTTTTCCGGAGGTATGTGGCCGCATTGGAGAAACGTCTTAACAACGGGTATGAAAATGCAGGCGTGGGCGCTGTGCCAGGCGGGGACAGTGCCAAACATAAGGACAGTGAAGCTCTTCTCTCAACAGCGACCGCTCTGTTAGGGGCGTATCAGCCCGATCCAGGACAACGCTTCCGCATGGTGCGCTTTTATGAAGTGATGGAGAGCTCCCTGCGATACCACCGAGGAGCCACCCTCCGCAGCCTGGAGAGGGCCTTTCACACCCTGGAAACCATCTGCACCAACCTCCTGCTCTTCCCCTGGAAGAAGGAGTTCAGGTGTATCAAGGTATCCTATATTTACTGCTGCAACCATTCATAATTCTATTAAATTTGATTTATTCAGCAATAAAAAGTTTTCAGACTTGAACAGTAGTATAATGGCAAGCTGCTGTTTAGTATTGGATTGTTCTTAGTTTTGTCATAGAAGTGCAGTGTGGGGATATACCTGTATAATAAGCAGACTGTTAAACACGGCTTGTTGCTGATCAGTCATCACTATAAAACAAGCATTTATTTTCTGAAATACACATAATGCAGGATTTATTTTTAACATTTCTCAAGACAAATTAATTCCCCAGATCATTTTTATTCACATTATGCAGACAGGATGTCGGCTTTAAGGCGTAAAGGGTCTGCAATTATACTAGTTTTTAGGTCTGTATTTATGATTTGAATCTGACAATGTCCTCCTTTAGCACTGCCACCAGACCCACTGTTCTTGCTTCAAATTAAGACACACATTCTCTGCTGCTCTCTCTTCACACGTTACTATCTACTCTACTTTTTTTTAAATCTATGTTCAGATTGTCCTCTTAACAATGAGACAACTACAGAAACTACAATAATATTTTGTTACAACAGCAAACATGCCTCAGTTGGGCTTATTTAGATGATAATTATATAACTTTATTTTGAAAGGTGCATCATACTAACAATGTAAAATGTCTGTGTTGACATGAGATATTGTGTGCTCATGCTCCTCCCCTCTCTCCTGCAGACGTTTACTGGCCCGTATGTGTACCATCTGCAGTCTGCCATCACTGATGCTGAGCTGCGCTCACTAATGTGCACTATTGGCTACTCCTGTGACCGTGAATCACAGTTCCATTTGCAAGAGCACCCTGGAGGTGCAAATCACCTCCGTCAGCTGGCGTTCGAGCTGTTTCTGGCGCAGGCTGAGTGTCGGCTGCTGAGCGAGGTGGTGGCGCTGGCGCGCGGCGCGGCCTCAGAGATGGATGCGCTGGAGCAGCGCAGAGGCTGCAGGGACGATGCGGCAGGCTGTGCCGAGGCTCTGCGCCGGCGGGATAGTCTTGGGGCAGACATGGCCCGACTCTCTGTGCGGCCGCTGGATATCGAGAGGCCCCACACACACCACCTGAGGCGCGGCAGCAGACCCTCCAAGTCTGTGGACGTCACCGATGGAGCTGGACACTGGCACCCGGCCGTCAGCAAACCGGTGCTCAAGGCCTCGCTGAGCCTGAGGAAGGAGCCGCTGTTTGTGGACGCAGAGGAGGATCTGAAGGACGAGATCCTGCGCCCCAATAACTCCGGTTCACTGTTCTCTGTGATCGCACCGCCCTCCTACAGCCCTGAAGCCGACTTCTACCCTATCCAGACGCCATCTCCAGCAGACCCCTACTCTTCTTACCACCTGTCCTCCTTGGATGAGATTGACTTGTACACGGAACGGGGCACAGGTACGGGCGGCAGGCAGACCCCGTCCAGACCCCCTTCTCGAGACGCTCGTGACGGCTGGCTGCATAAGGCCCATAGTAACGTGAAGTGCCACGGCTGCGGCCTGGGCTGCTCCACCATGGCGTCCTGCCAGAGGTGTGACATGATCCTGTGTGGGGCCTGCCATGACGTGGATCCGTCCCCCTGCTGTGGGCTGCAGGAGTACCACACTAAGTCCCCCCGGACCCTGGACGGATACATCCCAGTGAAGGACAAGCTCTCTGTCTATTCCAACACTCACTCCCACCTGCACCCACACCCCCTCACCCTGACTCACTCCCACCCACACCCCCATCCACAGATGGTGGACAAGCCCCTGATGTCCACCAAGCTGTTTCCCTCCAAGTCTGTGAGTCAGCTGACAACGTCCAAGGGGGGCAGTGACCGCCTGGGCCTGGGGGGCTCGCGCTGTGGCTTCTGTAATAAGCCTGGAGCTTCGCACACCTGTGTCAACTGCTCCAAAGTCTCCTGTGACTCCTGCATGGGCCTTTACGCTAAGGATCTGTGCACACGCAAAAACCCCCAGCACAGCTTTGTGCCCAACCATCAGCTCAACTTCAAGTCTGGAACCATATCTCACCTGGTTTACCGATGACTGACCCAGCCGACACGCACAACTGCTCTGGCTCTTAATTGCCTTTTCTAGTCATGGAGTCTGGCCCATTATCTGCTCTCTGAGCCCTTTGAACTGGTGTACATTTCTCTTGATGTTAAGGCCTGGTCACTGCACTCCATCTGCTGTGGTTGTTCTGTTCTGCTACATGCTCCTGAATAGTCGTGATGTTGTAGCGCTTCCCTCAAAGCTTGTCCTCTTCTACGGAGACTGGAGAAAAGAGTTTCTCTTTTTAATGATTTTGTCCAAATGAACATAATACTTGCCTAACTTCTCAGCTCAAATCCTACTAATATATAAATATAAAGATATATATATCTATAAATATAAATGACAAAGTATATATCTGTGTGTGAATGTTTGAAGGTGTGTGTGTGTGTGTGTGTAGAAGACCTCTGAGCTTGCGTAATGACAAAACCCTTTTAAACTTGAAAAACATGGATTACTGAGAAAATATACACTGGAAGTCAGTGAAGTGGATAGTATATATTTTTATCTAATCTGTAGAATATTGTGAGACTGTTAAACAGGCATGAGACTTTGGCACATGACCTTTTCTGTGTGGTTTCAGTCATTTCTCAAAAAACAAACTTGAGATGCTGATCAGATGCCATAATCTATTTAACTCTTGTTTGCCTTTGTAAATGATCTTTCTGTTTGTGTGACTGCGTTCTGCTGTTGATTGGAGACTGGCAAGATGAGTGGCGCTCCGGTCCCCTCTCGCCCTTCGTGACCCATGATGGTGGAGCTCACCAGAGGTTTCATGGAATCTCACTTCATTTTAGGATTTGAGTTATTGGCGTTCTTGAAGGTCTCGTGAACAGTTTCTGTCTACCTCACACGCGGCTGCAACATCGACATTCTTTGGGATGTTGTGGTTTTGAAATGTCCCTAGACACCTGAGGGTATTCAAACCTGTAAGAATAGTCGGAAACGTGCCTGTTTATTACGTCGAGCACAACCTCTCAATTCGATGTTATTGTTTTGGATAAAATGATATTTTAGACAGATCTTTGGGGAAAAACTACTAATTTGGATTGTGTTTTTAGTCCTTATAGCAGGCAGTTGAAAACCAAGTGCTAAAGGATTCTTGTATTTATATTTTAGCTGTCAACACACTTCCAAAGCTTTCCTGGAGTCTCACATCCTTTCTTGATTCATTCTTTCCTCCAAAGCCTTTATTTACATTTTCTTACAAAGGGACATCTGTGTGGAACTGAAGGATTGCTTTGAACACTTGTTTTTGCTTCGACTTTAGTTTACACACTGCAAAAATGATAAAATATGAGATAATTGCTTGAATCGAGTGTTTTTTTCCTTAATTTGAGTACTTTCTGATTGTCTTTAAACAAGATTTTCCAATGGGGCAAAGCCTTATTTCAAGAACTGTTGCTTTTTCTCATTCCTATGGAGACATTTCTTGTATATTTTTAAAACTATATAATTCTGCTTGTCCCATTAGCATATCTAGTTTTAAGGCAATCCAAATGTGCTCAAATTAAGATACATTTTGCCAAATTTTGGGTGATATTTTTACTTATATTTCCTCACTTTTTGCAGTGCACAAACCTGGGTATCATCCACATTGTGAGTGACCCTTGTGGGAGGTGTGCAATCTGATGATGCCTTTCCAAATCAGTTGGAATCTTTGTCATGTGTTTTTATATTTATCATTTGAGTTCAAACTCATACCAGCATCAAGACGTTTGAGCCATGTCGCAACTGACAGTGAGTCATTTTATTGCCAAATGAAGAACAAAATGTTGTATTTGAGGGAAAAAAAAACGCTCGATGTCTGTGGCTCGGCTAGATGTAGAAGAATTGAATCCTTATGATGCAATGTGGGAGTGCTTAAGCTTCTCTGTGTCTGTAAATGTGAGCGGACTGACCTGGCTCCTACCGGCACACACAGGATCTGTACCACTGGACGTCTGTGTAGGATGTTAAAAGGGCTACAGAAGCTTCAGGGCCACTGCTGCCGCTGCTGCTGCTTTTGCTGCTGCTGCTGTTGCTGGGTTTTGGGTGTTTGTGGAGGTGGATTTGCTGATGTGCAAATACTTTATATTCATTAGTGGAAAGTCACTGATGCTGACAGACAACAGAGCTCTTCTAAATTATAAACCTGAACCACTCTGAGCCATTGGAACAGAATCGCTAGTCCACAAAACAGTCAAGGTGATAATATTTCTCCGTTTACCTCTTTGTGTACCTGTGTATGTATAAGATGGCATGCCCTGTGTTTTCCTCTCGCCCCCAAACCAACTCATCTCCACTGGCACGGACGACCATTGCACACGTGAAGGAAATGGACTCGCTACCAGTATCTGAGCATAACGGGGAGAAAAGGGAAATAGCCAAAATTGTTGATCAGTAAAATATATTGAAACAAAGATTTTATAATATAATTTAAAGAATAAAATTCTGGGAAAAAAACGCAGATTGTGTTATTTTTTTATTTTTTTTAAGCCACAGGAATAAACTTATTGGAGATGCATCGCATGGTTCACTAACCTAAATGCTATTCATGATACATGAAAGTATTCTATAAGGTTTATCCATACAAGATACTCAATTTCAAACTCTTTCAATACAAGAACAAAACTTTACACTTGATACAAATTTTTATACAGCAATTATTTCATTGGTAAATTTGATTTACATTTTACAATTTTTTGTTCCTCAAGCTACTATCTTCAACATCAAAACATTTACAGTTCAGTGCCATACAGTTCTCTTGAGCAAGACCAACATTATCACACATTACACACATTACACATATCAAAACACATTATCTACTCGATAAACTGAGGTCATAAGGTTTAATAAGTTCTTGAAAATATACCACGACCTTAAACATTCTGTCCTGTTTTTTTAATCAAATATTTATCAGTGTAGATACTCTTCAGTACTCAATCCTTTTGAATAGGTTTGACCAATATTTCCATGGAAACAATTCAAAAGGCCCTCCTCCTTGATCTTCACAAATATAAGATTTGTGAAGATCAAGTTCCCGGACGGTAAGGACATAGCCAGGGGAGTCAGCAAAAATATCCTTTCTTGTGCTTTTTTTCCCCATGGGGACAATAAAGCATTCTGTAACCTTAGAAGTACCTTTTTGGGCCAGCTCCAGGTCAGATCAAGTGAAATGCACCAAGCTAGTAATACCCTATCCAGTGATTATAATAGATCCATGCCATATACCTTTAAAGTATGTAAGGTTATGTCATATGATACTAACAATGTTCGGAGTTGCCAGCAGAGGGCGGCAGACACTCACATTTGCACTCTTGCTGTTGGAGCTATATCCATTCATCTACAGTTCTAGCTGATGCTTTGAGTTCCATAGGAGCGCAGAAGGAAAGTATTCTCTCTGCATCCAATGTCACCTCATGATTAACTTCTCGATGACATAATAAATGGGGCGTACAAAAGTAGTCAAGTCAAAGATATTTTTTCCCTGAGCAAGGACAGGATGAGTGCGGAGGAGATTAATGACTCCTGGGTAAATATGGGGCAAACGCCAAGATGGTAGCAGGCTATTAATTGTATCAGACCTGAGGCAGGAGTTTCAGATTTTCTTATTACTGGTCAGTTTGCAAACTGTGGTGATGGAAATGCACAAAATTTACAAACAACTCACTCATCTCTCCTATGTTATATTTTGTCTTGACTCATGTTTTTGGCCCTGTTCAACTCATACCGGGTACTATGTTAACTCCCTGCATTTACTAAACTTCGGCTATCCAACCTTTTTTCCTGGTTAAGCTTTTTTGTGTGTGTGTAGAAATACATTTTGGGTTCTCCACCTTTTCATGTTGTATTTTTATTAAAGGAAAACAAAGACTGGTGACTTATACTGGTGATAATTCAATTCAGCAGGATATACTAGTGTGGTGTGATTGGGAACATATAACCCCCCAATAAATGATGTTAAAAACTTCAAACAAATGTAAAATAACACTATTGGAAAGATATCAGATGTCGGGATTGGAAATTGCTCAGATGAGAAATTGTGTATCGAATGTGTAGCCAAAAAGTAGGGACTAGGAGTTTGCAAACGTTTTTTATACAACCTCAGTATGTTATTAGGTACAATATCATTTTGTAAATTATTTTTTTTCCTTTTTTGTTATTGTTTGGTTCTTTGGGAATAGTGACAAATACGGGGCTATAACATAAAAAGTGTGAACAAAAACATTTATGTACTTGTCTTGTGCACAGGTATTCCAATGTGGTTTTATTGCAAATGTCAAAAAATCTAAATAAAAAAACTCATGTACATAAAAACATATTTTTACTGTAATAATATCTTATCACCTTTAAATAAATGTGTTGTATTTCTGTTAAAAAGGGAGGGAGCATTAGATAAGGAAACATAAGCTGTTGTTTTTCACTAAAAGGATTGGTATTGTGTTGAAAAATGGGAATGAATCGTATCAAATTGTATCAGCTCTGAAAGAAACACAAACCTGAGACATTCCTAATGGCAACGCAACCGAGCCGAGTTAAACAGGGCCGAGCGGAGATGGGGAGAATGCCCCAAAAGCGGAGAAAATTAAAAGTCACACTTGACATCCTGTTAATAACTGTTTTTCTATGGTCCTCTGTGCTCTTACCTGTGTCTATTTTGTAAGTAATGATTATGTATATTATATTTTATTTTATAGACCAAGGTCACCAGAGCACTTTACAATTGTTGAGAGTTCAAATATTATTCTATTCTTTTCACAAACGGTGATGACGGAAGCGAAACGGCATCAAAGCTCCCAACCCACACCATCTGTTCTCTCATTACATTCAGACCTATGGTACATGTCTTTAATCCAGGATATAACAGAACTCCAAACTCAAACCAAGACCAAGACAAAACGAGGACAAAAACACAATGGACCAACAACAAGGGGAGAGGATCACAGGGTTGAAATACACACAGGGACACACAAGTGAAACACATGAGGGCGGAACAGGCGATCAGAAAGTCC